TGTGGAAGGAAGAGGAGGGAAAAGTAGAGAGAGAAGGGAATTGAACAGATAGTGGGTGCATATGTGAGTTAGTGGTAGTGGTAGGAGATCACAGAAAAGTCGACTATCACGAATTACTTCAGTGAATGGCAGAACTGGCGGCATAGTTCCCTTCGATTGTGAAAACGACGCAAGCAGCTTTTACACGAAAGTTCAAGCTGAGGTTTGGCAAATTGCCAACAGTTGGTTGTGACCTTATAACGCTATAACGTCACGTCCCATTCGAAGGGAATCATTCTGCCAGTTCCGCTGTTGACTGAAATAATACGCTCTGATTCTCGACTTTTCTGTATTCTCTGCTCACCATTACCACTAACTCACCTATGAGCGTTCACTATTTGTTCAATCCTCTTTTCTCTCCTCCTCCTTCCACATAATGGGGCATAAAAGGGGCTTCTGATTGAAGCACAGTGGCGGAGGCGCAAGCGATCACCCTTCGCCCGCCCGTCGCCGCGTGCCGTGAAGAAACCGCGCCGCATACGCGCACGGGTGAGTTTGTACACGGAGCCCGCATTTTCGAATCGCAGCAGTGAGACACCTTCTGCGCATGCGAACCGGACCACCTTAGCTTCGGCACATCAGAAGATGATTGAGGGGTTTGAATTTGGCCACAGACTCGTTCTCACAGGGGCAGGTTACTATTGCATTCCCCATCCGGGATTTCCTTTTTCATCCTGTACAAAGTCGGACATTTCACCTCCTGAATGCGAGTATCACATTCGTTTCGCTGGAATGGTGTCTCATTTGTACCTAGTTGTAGATGAATTTTTCAAAAGAAATTTTCGAATTTGTACAGGTTGGAAAAAGGAACCCCGGGTGGGGAATGCAATGATAATAATTAAAAATAGTGAGGAATGCGACGACTACTCACCATGAATGGTGCACTTTCCATCCGAACAGCAGAGGCCATATCCATTCTTGGATCAAAATTCGTTGGTGTTGGCCGTGGTTGCGTCTCCTCCAGCTTTCGCTGTGGAATGGACATCGATCGAATATCAGCGCTCAGTGGCGGTTGTGGCAAGATAGCCTGCACCGGCCGTAGTTGATCAGGAGTCGGCAACACTGGTGAATTATTCGGCTTCCCTTTCGACGTGCTACTGTTCACATAGCCATTCTTTGACGAATTCACTTTTGACGATTGCTTCTTCTCCGACGGCTGTTGTTTGGGATGAGCTGCCATCGCCTCTAGCCTAGGAGGAGCCTCTGAACTCTTGGCGTTGCCGTTCAGATATGGAGGATATGGTGGCAGCGGGGGAGGCTTGTAAAGTGCAGCTCCCGCTTCAGGTCGTGACTCCATCAACAATGGTGGAGCTTCTGGGAGCGGTGGTGGCTTTGGTTTTACGGACTTCTCCACCTTGGAGGTCTTAGAAGTGCTCTCCTGGGGTACGAAAGCTGATTGCGATGAGTGTCCTGATGGCACTGGTTGGAAGCCCTGATTTCTCGGTAATGGTGATGGATGAGGAAGCTGTGAAGGTGGAAGTGGGATGACCTGATGATTAGGCTCCGGTCGTGGAAGCATTGGTGGTGGGAAATGGGAGGCATTCGGAACTTTTTGGATGTTTGTAAACGACGACGATGATGGCTCCATGCTCAGCGGAGGAACGACGGAAACCACAGGATCCTCTCGTTGCAGTTGTGGGGGCTGATCAACATTGCCATCATTCCTGCTCGCAGGAGTGCAATGTTTCGACGGTGTGTTTTCCACAGGGATTGGATTCTGAAAATAAATCGAAATAATTCATTGGGAAACTCAGCTATCGCATAAAAATTAACAAGCACCACAGCATGTCTCTGCCACTCCTTTTTAGAGGAGATTAACAAAACGGCAAAGTAAAAAAAGATGTGTGGTTCGTACGGGGAATAGGAATCTGGAATTATATGCTGATCTCTCCTTGAATGGGAAAAGAAGCTGATAGCGCCATTCGCCCAAGCCGCTGCATGCCTTATTTCACTCCAAAGGCGCAGGTGCGCAGTGGTACAGCACGCTTTTTCTATTCGAGACGCTGAGAAATGCGCATTTTGCGCTACGACGTAATTTATTACTAAAAATAGACAATTTCGAATGAACCATGATGATCTTGCTTCTTACTTGCAGTCTTGTTCGCTGCGGATGATGGTGCGTGTCTGTGCGGCTGCGTTTGGCACGCTGCCAGCCCGTTATGGCTAATGCCGTTTGGACTCCAGAAATTTCGGCAGCTCATTTTTAAATTGCCTAAGTCACCAAATCCGCTAAAAACTTGTATATAGGGGTAGTTTAACATCCTGATTACGAATATGACATTCACTCTTGTCGCTGGCGCTAATGGATGACACTACGATTATCTGCGCTCTGCTAAGGCTGAGCCCAGGAGGTAATCGTAGTGTCATCCATTAGCGCCAGCGCAATGAATGTCATATTCGTAATCAGGATGTTAAACTACCCCTATATACAAGTTTTCAGCGGATTTGGTGACTTAGGCAAATTAAAGGCAGCGCCCGCGTTCAAATTTGATGAGTATGCGGCTCAGGTAGTAATAGCAAGGTAGCAAGAAACCTATTAGTGAAGAAAAATCAAAAAGAAAACATGCAAAATGCCCTATAAGGAGTTTCATACCGAACAGCGGTTGTACGTGCTTAAGGCGAAGAGAAGGAGTGGTTGCACGAGTTCATATCAGCTGTTTTCCCTTATCACCTCACTCTCACCACACGACGTGGAGAGAAGCAGCAATGGAACAACCGCACCATCAGGCAACCATTAGAAATGAAGTTGGGCGTCGTGGTCGCCAGGTGGGCGGGGCGGTCGACTCTTTACTAGCGATAGGCGCTATCCTCTCGCCTTTGTGAGATGCAAAACTAGTACATACTGCATCCTTATGGGGAGGGCTATGATACCCAGAAAGGGCGTAGGAACATCAAGTGAACGTGGGCGCTGCCTTTGAAAATGAGCTCGGTACCGGAATTTCTGGAGTCCAAACGGCATTAGCTTCCGCTATCTTCCAGTTGCTGAACTAGGTGAGGGACATTCTGGTGAAAAACGACTCATGCGAAAAATGTGATAGTATTGCCGTTCGCCGAAAGGAAAAAGACGCATTGGCGCCGCGCCAACACAGCTGCGCTGACTCATTCATGCCCAGCGAACGAGACTACACTGTTTGGGATGGAAATAATGGAGTATCAGGGCACCGAAGAGGAATTCCGGTGGCTCAGCCCAAGCTTTTTTCACCTCTGGCAGACCTACTTTTATACAAGGCTCAAATTTACCTCCAACAATCTCTCACCTAAATTTTCCCCAAATCATCCCGAAAAAATCTGCTCCACTGGCTACAGGAGTAAGAGAAGGACTTGGGCGATCGATAAAATCTCGAACCTTCATGAATCCCTTTCTCAAACAAACCCCTTCCAGTTAGCAAGACAAATACGACCTTCCTGATCTCCAGTTACTCGAATAGGACCCTCTTAGTTATCGACTTCTGTTAACCGGTGCTTTCTCGCGAGAGTCCAGAGGTATTTCCTCATCGCTTCTTTCGGCTAACATTTGAAGGAAGGAAAATAAGGAAGAGGGACTAGAGAGAGAAGGAATTAAAAGAAAGAACGAGGAAGAAAAAAGGAAGGAGGGAGGCTTCGCGGTTGACAATTGTCCTGAGACGCCTTTCTCTCCTCTATCAACTCAAATACCCCCCCCCCTCTCTTAAATGCTTCACCAAACGAGCGTATGCGCCTGCGTGGCTGTGAACACGCGGAGAAGAATCACTTTATCTGATTCCTTCCAAACGGAGTTGCATCTCAATTTTGTCCATCTTTAAATAAAATGCATAGCTTTTTCGAAGAAACTAACGAAGAACGACTTCCCGATTATCGAAGAAAACGCGTAAAAGCAGCTGAGCTACGCGCGGTACGGCGGCCAGCACTCTTTTGAAGGCATTTCATTATTTGGAAAGCAGAAATTGAGCGCGACACACTATATGTTAAAATGAAGGTGGACGGAAGTGAACATGGAGGGAAGGAAAGTGCCCGGCCGGTTGCCGTGAGGAGAGATGAGCAAGCGAAGAGAAGCGTCAAGTCATGCAAACTAAAGGTAAAAAGGCAAAAATTATGGCAGGAAAGAAGAATCTCACAAAGAGGAGGGTAATACGATGCGAATGGGAGCTCTAAAAGCTAAGCAGCAGAAATGCCTATACGCTCAAAAACATCAACCTTTAAATAAATCTGGAAATTAATAAAAAAAATCAGATTTTTTGGATATCTTTACTCAAGAATCAGAACTCATCGCAAAAACAAGGGAGTGGCAGACACCGGGTGGGATTGAAGAAATGAGAAGGCAAACACACCTGGACTGGCTGGGCGGGCTGGGGGTACGGCATAGAAATATGCATATTCGGAGGCGAACGATGAATAAACTGCGGCGGTGTGATGAACATTGGTCGAATCAGTGGGCCGACAAGCATATTCGGCGCTAACGATGGCTGGTGTGGTACTGCTGTTGGTGACTTTTCCGTTGGACTTTTCTTCGGATCGCTCAGCTTCCTTCTTTTACGCGGTGCACATTGTGGAGTTATAATTGGAGCGGAATGGCCATAGATATCCGTTGAAAGACTGACAGTCAGCGCTGGGACCACTGGAGAGACGAGTTGGACAGGTTGTAGTTGGCCGGGTGGTTGGATCGTTGATGGCGCCTCTTGATGAACGGGCGCCTCCGGCATGAGACAGGGCATTGTTTCCGCGTCCAAAACTGGCGGAGCGTCATCGTTTACGGTCGGAATGAGTGTGAAGAACAGCCGAAAAGGTCTTGTTCGATCGAAGCCGCCATCCAGCACCAACGTGCGTAGAGTAACGTCATCAGGAATGTCCTGAACAAAGTAATAAAGTATTGAAAGTAAAGGAGAGGAGAGTAAACTCACCTGGAAATCCCTATCCGAAATGAAATGAACGCTGAATTGATCAGTGAGAAATAGTTTGGTCTCGAGAAGGCGGCGCACTATACGAATCGGCACCTTCGCAGCGCATCGGAAAAAGCGTCGAAATGACTGCTGAACTTCACGATGTTCGCGCATCTGCAATACAACTGAGCTATAAAACAATGGACCACATCCATTTGATCAAAATATTCACTTTGAAGAAGTACGCACAACTGGAGCATCATTCCTTTTTTGACAGCACGGCAAATTTCTTGAACAACCCATTAGAAACACTGGTCAACAATACACAGAAATATGCCCGAAAAAGATAATATAGTGTTTTGATCCCGCGAAAAAGTTGAGAAAGGTGAACCACGTTAGGTTGACAACGGATGTTTCTCTTTTCGTTTCCCTTCTTTCAAAGACTTTTTCACCATTCACTTTTTACTACCCCAATCATCGAAATTTGAATCAGATTTTGATTGAAATTTTCCTCCATTTCATATAATTGGCTCGAGCATTGTCCCGGGAGTATATTTAACCTCTAGACACAAATATCATGAAGGCTCCGTTTACAACTGCCTTGAGAGCGCCATAGGCATTAGGCACAAAACAATCAAAATATCTATTCTGTTGAAAACTCAACACCAAGAGTATTTTGGCTTCCCAACAAGATCAGATTCAGGTCGGCGTAAAAAGCCTTATGCGTCCACTGCATTCCTGGCGCCAAACCCACCGGTGGTGCTGATTCCCCTGATGAGCACACCTGATGGTGACTTTAAACGGATGGGTATCGGATGGGGAGTCGAACTATTCCGAAGGATAAAGTTTTGATAAAATCTACCTCAAAAGAAAAATCCGACTGAAATCTAAATGAATTGCGAAGAGAGGCAATAAAGTGTAAACATTCGAGATTTCTCGCAAGCGAAATGATAATTCAGCAATCTTGGCAGTTAGAGCGCTAAGTTTCCAGCATATAAGATCACAAGGTAGTGTTCACACATTGCAATACTGATGACTTAGAAAATCGCTTTACTAGGAACTCAGAATTTACGAACGCCAAAAGTGACATATCGATCTGCGAAGACCAAAACCAATCGATACGTACGTAACCACGTAGCGGGTTACCCAATTATTTAAAATTCGCATTTTCAATTCCTCCAGTGTCCAAAGGCCTAAGGCAGCCCAGGGAAACTAGGAGCACACAGGTCCTACTTGGATGACGTCACTCTTTGTCTCAAAACCCATGGCATACAGATCATCCCAGGCCAAACCCTTACAACAGTCACAAGTAAAATAACAGTCAACCATATCTGCAGCTAAGCTTCAAGGGATGGATAAAGAGCTGTTCACTGATCGTTCAAAAATGTTCTCTTCACCAAAGTCGTACCTTCTTCATCTTTTTCAACGGAGGCTCTGCTTTGGAGGACGATGATGTGGATGGATTTGTGGAGACAGCCTCCTGAAGGTGGTAATTCCAAAACAGTACGAGAAAAAAATTGATACGATAATAAACGAGCAATAACAGGAAAATGATCATATAAACGAAAGGAATCAAAGTATCCTTCATACCTCATCAGGCTTTGCCACAGATGGTGCCGGCACAAACTCCAAACAAATCGAGATAAGCTCGTCCGGATCACAAATTTCACTACTTGCTTGAGCCAGTTCTCTTAAATAAATCTGCTGAAGAAGATAGGTTTCGAAAAAGGGATCACTAGTTCGATTATTGACTGAGCACGTTCTTCCTAGTTCGAGTATGTAAAATTTATCGCATTATTGGGGCACTTCAACTATTTTATACTATAAGATCATAGCTGGCAAGGGCTGCATGATTTGAAGCTATGCAAACACTTGCCTGAATGAGTTCAATCACATTATATCTCGCTCAGGGGGAGGAGTAAGTGCCAGATTAAGTAACTGCTAATCGCAAAAGCTCTTCAAACTGTGGGCCATAGGAAGTGTAGCTTCCATGATCACTTCATTTTCATAATTAAAGTTCGGCTACTGTCCTCGGACTTTACGGATAAGATGTGGCCACAAAAATAATGTTATGAAAAAGGTCAACGAGCTTTTCCTGTGCGTCATTTATTCCCTGAACGTCTGCGAGATGGTGCTACAATGAACTAAGCAATGAACCACGCATTAATGAACCTGATGAATAAAAAAGGGATAATAAATGAAAGCGGAAGTGATAAAGGATAAAGTCTTCGCCGTTGATCAATCCCTTTGTGGGATGCGGCACGCATTCTACTTCCATTCAGAATCGTAGTGGCTTATTGAATGCGATGTGGCCTATACAATGACTTGCGGTGGCCAGCCGATGTACAAGTCAGTATTCTTTCAAACGAATCGGTACCAATTTACTGACTCCC